CTTAGGAACTACTTAGTGGTCGGGAAGGCAGGCAGAGTGAGGAGCACATTCTCCACCGCATGATGAAATGAAGTGGTCTATCCATCCCGAACATACGGATTTTTCTTCCTTCCTTCAAATGCTCTCTGAAGTTTCCTTGTTTCTGGAACGTGAGGCTGCTGCGGGTAGGGAATCTCGGAAGCTCATTCTTGCTCTCGTTCTTTTGCAGGGCAGCTTTATCACAAGCCTTCCATCTCGGTGTTCCCCCATCCTGAGGTGATCCAGGGGGGAAATGTCCGCATCTCCTGTGGGAATGCGCTTTACTCACATGCAACATTCCATCTCTTCAAAGGATTAATTTCACAACCTGTGAAAGTTCAGCAGCCTTCAAGTTTCCAATCTTATTCGGTTGTGTTTAACATTTCCAATGTCCAGCAATCAGATGGGGGGAGCTACTCATGTGTTTATTGCATCTCTGAAGACCTGAATCGACGGTGCTCATTGGCCAGTGATACAGTCTCCATTGTTGTAGCAGGTGAGGGCCTGGCTCAGCCCTTGCATGCCGGTTGCACAAGCGACCTTACAGTGAGGGGCGGATTTACTGCACCTGTAAATCCACTGGAAAAAGCTGCCGTAACTAAAATATGCCACGGTTTGCAAGATCGATATATTATATCCCGCTTTTTTCCAACAAGCTCAAAGCGAGTCACAGAATTCTCTTCCTCCTGCTCTCAATCTTATACCCACAACAACAACCTTGGGAGGTAGGCCAGGCTGACTGTGCCCGGCCCAGAGTCACCCAGTTAGCTCCGTGGCTGAGTGGGGGCTACAGCCCAGACCACCCGAGTCCCAGTCCCAGGCTCTTCCGCTGGCTTTTCATGGCCACACTGCTCTGGTGCAGATATTTCTCAAAGAAAAGGGGAGGCCTGTTCTTGCTGCTCCTTGTGACTTTGCCAGGGAAGGTACCGGCACTGTGGGCAAGATCTGGGGCACTCTTGAGACGCCCAGGCGCTCCAAGCCTACCCCAAACCTGCCACGCCTTGCCTGGTCCTGCCGCCCTTCCACCTGTGTCGCGCCACGCGTCAGGAGCCCGTGTCTTTGGCTCTCCCGCCTCCGAGGGGCCGCGTGCCTCGGGTGGGCTTCAAGCCAAGGGTCTCCCCCTCCGGGCCTCTGCTGGGCACTTTCCAGAAACAAAGTGTCCTCTCTGTGTTTTCCAGCACTTCCATGAGTTCCCTGGGAGGGGCAGGGAAGAGACCTCTTGCAGGACGCCAGGGCCAGCCAGTCAGGACTCTGCGCAGCCCTGCTGCTGGATCGTGGACCTGGGGGGATCCACATGCTGCAACTCCAGCTCCTGCTCCAGGCCGGACGCTGAGGCTCTCCCAGGGGCATCTGGGCAAGGCGAGAGTAACTCTCTTCTGCGGTGTCCAGTGGCATCAGCAGTGCTGACTTTGTGTCCGTCTCTCACTACACTGCCTTTGAGAAATTGCAGCTACATTTCCGTTTTCCCAGTATTAGCTCCTGCTCTGAGATCTTAAATGCACCACCACCTGCAAGGCTTTTGCACCTTTTGCATATTTTCCAAAACATAGGGATGCTTCTCGTTTTACGGAGCTGGAATGTTTTAGGTGCAGGAGGTCTAGGACGTCACCCTTTTTCTCTCCTCTTTCAGCTGAAGTGTATCCCAAGCCATCCATCAGCGTGAGCCCAGGTGAGCTGCTTTCCCGCGGAGAAAATGCCAGCATCCGCTGCAAGAGCTCACAGCAGGCAAATGGGGAGTTCATTCTACGGCAAACAGTGTTTTCGAGAACCTATCGTACCAAGAAGACAGCATCGGATGAGGTTGTCTTTCCCATCGGCCAAGCTAAGAGCTCACATGCTGGGATGTACCAGTGCAGGTACTGCTTCCATTCGGACTCCGCCTTCTATAAACGCTGCTCAGGCTACAGCGACAAGGCCTACATCAACATCACAGGTGAGTGCCTGCCCAGCCCTTCCGGGCAGCAGGTATGAGCAACACTAAAACGAGTTCATATTTTTCTGCCTCTGTAAATGAAAGTGGGAGACTGTGTAGACGAAAACCTCTCTTCAATTGAAGAAGGGCTCTCTCCCGCTTTAGATCAAATAAATACCAATACATCATTGCCCAGTGCCAGTTTCCTGCTGGGTAGGCGGGATTTTCCATGATGCATGACTCCTTGCAGCACTTTTACCCATGGCTAAATCCCAAGCTGTCCTGCAGTGGAGAGTTCCAGTGGCACCTTGAAGTGTCTGCCCCTGCACTGAAGCCTGAAATCCGTGTTCGCCTTGCCCATGAAGTCAAGGTGCGCATCAACAGCCTCTTCTCACCCTGGGGAGGGATAACCCCTGGGCTCAGTCCTGGGCCATGTGCTCTTCAATGCTGTAATGAATGCTGTTGGCGAGCCACAGGGAATGACCATCAGATCTGCAGAGGACACAAAAGCGGGTGGGACAGCTAATGCCCTGCAAGATTCCAGGACTCTTGATAGGCTGCAGCGCTCGGCTGAAAGCGACAGAATGAAATTCAACAGGGGCACGTGCCCAATTCTGCATCCAGGAGAAGGAACCCACATGTATGGTCCAGGATGGGGAGTCCTTGGCTCAACAACACTGCAGGCCAGAAGCATCTTGGAATTGTTATAGAGATCACAAGGTGAACCTGATTCAGTCATACTAGTTCTCCTTTACTCAGAACTGGTTGGGCCTGATCTAGACTACTGACTTCATTTCTGGGCACCACAGTTAAAGAAAGATGCAGGCAAGCTCAGAAGGGTCCAGGGAGGGCAAGAAGGATGATCCCAGGACTGGCGACAAAGCCGGGCTCAAGTTACAGGGAGCCAGGATCTGGCTAGCCATCAGTAAAACAAT